TCAGACTAAAGTTGTAGTCTCCTGTTTTCCCAGCAGGGGACAGACTTTCAATAAACTCCAGCACAGCCAGTCTGCATAAATGTAGTGTTCAGCACTCAAACTTCACAAATAAAGACAGAGTTTAAGCTCTGTTCCTCTTTCCAGCCCTGTTTTATTCTTGTTTTTCTAAAAAAAAACGTCCTTAAAAGACTCAGAGGTGTCCACAGTGAAGCCTTCAGGGTCTGAGGCTGCTGAGGAGTCTCACCTGTTCCCCTCCGCTGGTTTAATGTGGAGGGAAAGCAGTCAGCAGGTGGGGCTAAAGGCCCAAATCCACATAAACAGAGCAGTGATGGTGGACCGGAGCCTGGACGTTTCCATTTACTGCTTCATGGGCAAAGCTTTGAAGAAAAAGACTAAGATCAGATTACAGAAACAAGAATTTGGGGCGTTTTTCATTTTAAAATGTTTATAGACATCCACCTTTCAAAGGACATTCATGTTGTCCTTGAACTCAAATAGTATAAAACCTTTCACTATGACGTAGTTTATATTTTTATAGGGGGTATACTGTACCTAGACAACGTAACAGAAAATATATTTTCTGTGTTAAATACATTTTTTAAGCCTATCTAACATTGTAAAGCTTCTTGCATGTCATTTTAAAAAAAGGTATGAAAGAATAACATGTTTAAGTATGGTTTAACATAATATTTAGCTAACTTTCTGTCCTCCAGTCTAACCAAGGATGTCTTTACATTTTCTGGGCTGACTCTCCCTCCACACGGCTAACCCGGAGCTTATACATGAAAAAAAGTTTTACAACCGAGTACATAGCATAGCGCTTTTAATTATTCAAACAGTAACAAGCAAGTTTTTTTTATACTAACAGTTAGTTAACGTTAGTCCTGTATTCTTTTTCGAAGTTTAGCCCTCTGAAACGTTGCAGTTAACGGGCTTAACAGCTTCCGCTAGCTTTAGCCATCTCTTTTTACCATGGTTGTTAACGCTGACATCAGCCTCGTTATCGCCGACTTTTGCCGTCTAACTGCCGCCTCTTCGGGAGCAGCTGGCGTCTTGTTTTTCTGAAGAAAAAAAAAACATTAGAAAATATAAGCTAGTTTTATCTTCATCTTGAGTCCATTAACCGTTTAAATGCTCCATATGAAAAACCGTTTAAAAGCTTCAAAAGAAAACTCGAGTCTGAAAGCTTTTTCCGCTTCTACACCGGCAGCCAATCGTCGAAGAGCAGCTCAATAAGGAACCAATCACAGCGTGGCAGAGAGCTCAGCCAATGGCTGTGAGCTCAGACGGAGCGGGAGGCATGGCAACAGGTGGCAGAGTCTTCCAGGTCTGTAAAAGCTACTTAAACACACAAACAAACTCACAGACAGTGTGTCACCTCTGACTGGGAATTTTTAAGTAGTCACACGGAAATTCATCAACTTTCTAGCTTTATCATGAAGACTAGACCAGTGGTTGCACTTGGTTATTGTGTGAAATAAACCTTTTCAAGTTGGATGGCAGAATTCTCCAGCCAAAGCAGAGCTGATTGTCTTTGCAGGCATTAAATATGTTCTTTCATAATCACCAAACAAAACAGATCCAGACTGATGGCCTGAGGCCTAAATGACTCACCTGTTCTGAGGAACTCTAACCCTAAACTCTGCTGTGCCTCAACAGTCACTCAGGAATTTTTACTTAGTTGCATTTCTGTGGAGCATTTTTAGGATTGAAGTGATTTATTAGAAACTTAGAACAAAATTATTAGCTATCAGTTGTGAGATGATTCTTGCATATTTCCATTTTTGTGATTTTACATTATGAATTTAGATTTGTTAGTAAAACAATATAAGAGCTTATTACTTCTACACTTATTGCAGTGAATGTGGCATTTAGCCAAAAGAAAAATTATATTGATGGCATCAGAGAAGCTACACGACCTCTTTCCCATAGGAAAAACCTGCCCGTGATCCAATATGGTGGCTTTCAAGATGGCTCCCATCTTCCACAGACAGTCTAATAAAGATTCTGATGAAATGGGTCAGCTCAGAGGCTCTGGACAGGCCTGGTAAAGGCATGCTGATGTGAATCGGGGGCTGTTGAGGCAGTGAAACTTCTGAGGACCAGCTTTGGGTACCCCTGGACACTGTTCCTGGTTCAGCCGACATAAAGCTGCAAAAAAAACACCTGACATCTGATGAGTGGCGGCTTCAAAGCACATGAGAGGAGAGCAGAAGTCATGGTAAAAGTTTATTTAAGCTGGTGGTGAGTCTCATAATTCTACAATGATTCCTGAGTGCTGTCACACTGATAATAGACAATTATCCTGCATATCAATATGCCAGGAATTAGGGTTGTCACGATACTAAAATTTTCAACTCGATACCGATACTCAGGAAAATACTCGATACTCGATACCATTTTCGATACCACAAGGATAAAAACAAATACCCCAAAATTTAACTGAATTTTGACAGGTTAGTGTCTTTGGTTTCAAACTGACCTGTTACTGATGTTATCGTGAGTGGTGGTCCACATTAATGACCCTAACCCTAACCCTGACCCTAACCCTAACCCTCCACCCTTCATAAATGTGAGAAATAAATATTTTCTGGTTAAACTTGTTTGGGCTTATTGTACAAACCTATGTAACATCCACTATTTTAACGTAATGATATTTATAGAGTTTAATTGTTTGAAAGATTAATTTCAGTATTTCTAAATTAATGTCTATATTGCCATGAAGCAATTACAATTTTCTTGGCCTGAATCTTCATATTGGTGACGTAAACAAAACGGCCGACTTTGCATCCAGACGTATTTGACTAATGTTGGCGTGTTATTATTAGCCATTAGCCACAGCTAGCAATTCAAGGCTAAGATCTTGTTAATTATCATAAACAACGTAAATTAATACATAAAGAGAGAAGGGGCGCAGCGACGGCAGGTCAGCGTGCGCGCAGGCTCGCACGGTGGTATCGATACTTTTGAAAATGAGTATCGTATTCGGATACAACATTTTAGTATCGATACTTTTTCGAGTATCGATACTTTTGACAACCCTACCAGGAATTGATAAGACAGAATTTTAAGAATACAAATAAAACATTACATCTGAGACACAGTTCATAAAAATAAAAACATGCATGTGGGAAATTAAATTTAAAAAATGAATTTAACCAGAAATTATTACATTTCATAAGTTTAAAATAATGTTGATTCATTATATACAAATTTAAACTAAAAGAAAAAAAGTAGGAAGAGTTTCAAACTGAATCCATGAATTTCCATATCTTTAGAGATTTTCGTCTTATGGTTTGCAGCCAACAGCTTCTTCCAGTCTAACGTTTACCTACTGGATTTGGGGATTTATTTTCCCTTTTTTGTCCATGTGTCTCATCTTTTGGAGGATTCTTCCCGACTGACTCCATCTGGGATCAACACTGTTTACACTCAGGATGAGTTGGAGTCGCTACGATCGGCTGGACGTAAACACTGGGGGAGGAAGTGGACGTGTGAACCTCATCTCCTTTCCATCATCATGGGGAACACAAGGTCGCTCGCTAACAAGCTGGACAAGCTAACTAGCACCAAAGGGAACCGTTCTTTCCCCTTTCCCGTTCACCCCGCACACATCTGACTGGAGAACACTTTCAGTTCTACTCCTGCAGACGACTCTGCAGATGTTTCCTGAGGAGGCTCCGCCCACTGTAACATCACGCCGATGATGTTTTACCAGTCAGTGGTATAATGAGGTAAAAATAATTAGAATAATAAAACAGGCTGTTTTAACTCATCCCCTTTGGTTTTAGGGGGACAGAAGAAACCTCCTGCATCCTGGGGCCAAATATGTTTGAAATAGTTTCTACAAAAAAGTTTTTCTGCCAATTTCCAGTTATTGTGTAGTGTTCAGTTCCACTGTTGTTTAAGTTAGCTTTTTCTACTTTTACCTTATTATCTCACTTTGTATGCAACTTGCATCTGTGGCACAGAAATATCTTTTG